CCCGCCAATACACACACACTGCCCCCAATACACACACCTTCCCTGAATACACACACAGCCCCCCAATACACACAGCCCCCAATACACACACCTTCCCTGAATACACACACAGCCCCCCAAAACACACACACACTGCCCCCAATACACACACACTGCCCTCAATACACATGCACACACACTGCCCCCAATATGCACACACTGCCCCCAAATACACACACTGCCCCAAATACACACACACTGCCCCCAATACACACACTGCACCCCCATACACACACACTGCCCCAATACACATACACACTGCATTCCACACATACTGCACCCCTCACACACACAATGCACCCTTACACACACACTACACCCCTCCACACACACTACACCCCTCCTCCCACAATACACATAATGCACCCCTCACACACACAATGTACCCCTATACACACACAAACTGTACCCCTCACACACACACACACACTGTGCTTTCCACACACACTGCACTTCTCACACACACTATTCCCTACAAATGTCCCTATTCCCTGGGAGGGCACCATGGCACTCCTGGAACAATAACCACTACAGAGAGCTGTAGTGGTTATTGTGCCTGGATTGTTTCTTTAAAGAATCTACAAGTGCCTCTCCTGAGATTAGGTTATGGATCCGCCCCTGACCCTAATCCTCAAAAGTGCAAAATACTTAAGCACATGAGATGAAACAGCCCATCGATAGATACAAAGCCACAAAGAACTTGCCTTTGAAAAAGCATCCTAATAAGTGATGGCAATAAGGATGTATGGGTAAAAGCCATCTCTATGTTTGCCTCAGTCAACAGAGCGTTTTTTGCCAGACCTCTTAAAGCGGCACTGTCATGCCGAACTTACCTTTCTTTAATCGATTCCTCTTCTTTCCCTCTCCCTCATTAACATTCCAACTCCTCCTCTCTATCCTGGAGATAATTGGGTTAGGTGCTAGAAGTAACTCAATTACCTCCAGGGATAGAGAATATCCTCCCTTTTATTTCAACAGTAAAACACATAAAAATATATATTTCCCAAACTACCAAACAGAATCCCCAAATTCATCCACAGATAGCTTAGATCTGAGCGCCCAATATAAGCGAATAGCGCTCAGATCCCATATACACAGATCAATCGCCATGGAGCCAAAGTTCTGTACAGGGTGCTTTCAACTAAACGAATGGGCTCCACTCAGAGGTGGGGGCCGGGGGGGAGAACAGTAGGTCCCTCCTCCCCCTTGTTATTTAGGGCCTCCACACGCTGCACAGGGGTGGGGGTCAGGGGAGGACAATAGGTCCCCCCATACTCATTTAGGGTCCCCATCTGCTGCTCAGGGGTGGGGGCCGGGGGGAGGAAAATAGGTCCCCTCCCCTCATTGCTATTTAGGGCCCCCACCCGCCGCTCAGGCGTGGGGGTCAGAGGGAGGAAAATAGGTCCCCCCTCATTGTTATTTAGGGTTCCCACCCGCCACTCAGGAGCCCTAAATAACAATGCTCATGGGTGCTCACCACCAGCCGGCTTTTAGCTTGGTGGGCACGTCCAAGTCGGTAACTGAAAAGTTTACCCTACATAGCAGGGGAGGTTGACACCCACCCATCTCCTTACATTCCATCTGATACTCCCCAACCCTATTGGCAAGGACACGCTCCCTGCCACAACCCCGCTGTTTTAAACATAAAATCAGAGGGGAGCCCCAACCAAACCAACCAAGGCCTGTTCCACTGCTTCCTAGATAGAAAGATTGAAAAGGTTGAGCCTGGCCTCCATGAGGTGCACGCCATCACTCCTGAACAAATTAGCTGCCTCCCGCTCAAACACCCTGTGGCGAACCAATTCAGTTTAACCCGACAGCGCTCCATGGCTCTTTGATTATGGGCCCGTTTCCAGTAGTTACGACAAATGGCCTTCGACCAGATAAGCTGAACATCCGGGGAAAAAAACAAGACTCGCACTAAATCCCTCTTAATAGCGTTCCCCAAACTGCAAATAGGCATCGTCCCCAGATCATTACCCCCCAGGTGAATCACAAGAACACTAGGTGGACCTAAAAGCTGGGAAAGCTGAACTAGCTCAGGGAGGAGCCAAACCCACTTCATACCTCTATTCCCAAACCAGCGAACCTCCACATCAGAAGGCGTGAAACCCAGCAGCTCATGTCCTGGATGGACAGCCGCCCGCATGGCCCAGAAGACGAGTGCCCGATCACCCAGACCCTGGGGGGACTCCAACCTAAGCAGAAAAAAAAATCAATTAAGGAGGCTGGAAGGACTAACATATGAGACAAAACACCCAGATGCCCACCTCCCAATCCTCTGATCCGCTTGCGCCGACATACCCACCCGGGAAGCTTCAGTGGCAGCAGAGTAACAGACCTACGGGAGCACCCCGCAGAGCTTCGACAGAAGTACCGCGGAGTACCAACCGCCTAAGCAAGCGAACCACCGGAGGGGAGGAGGCCATCAACCGATTAATAGCCTGAACGATCCCCAAATTGTCGCAATGAAACACCACCCTTTGATCCTGAAAACGGGACCCCAGACCTCCGCCACCACTAAAATGGGGAAAAGCTCCAAAAAAGCCAGATTTTTTGTGAGCCCCAAGACATGCCAACTGTCCAGCCACACGGCAGCACACCAACTAGAGCCCAGAATGGCCCCAAACATCACAGAGCCAGCCGCGTTCGTAAAGAGGTGTAGGTTGGCATTAGAAACATCCGGCCTATGCCATTATATGCAGCCAAGAATGAGTCCCAGACCGCCAAATCCTCCCGCAGCGGCCGAGTGAGCCGAATGAAACGACGGGGCCCGGAGATCCCAGCTGTTGCCACAGCCAGATGCCGGTTAAAGACCTGCCCCATGGGCATGCTCTGACAAGCAAAATTCAGGTTACCCAAGAGCGAAATCTTGCGCCGCCCCATGGCCGAGGCCACCTCGCGCCGTAAGCCTTGAATCTTGTCCACAGGCAAGCGGCATTCCCCTGCCAAAGAGTCAATTTCAATGCCCAGAAAGCTGAGACAAGTGACCGGGCCCACCATCTTGTCGTGTGCCAACAGGACCCCAAACTGATGGAACACCTCACCCAAAACCCGCAGCATCAGTGCACAGGCTGGCGAATCGGCGGGACCCACACAAAGGAAATACTCAAGGTAGTGGAGCAAGGAGTTTCAATCCCAGCTTCCTTCCTCGCCACCCAGTCTAAGAATGTGCTGAAGCATTCAAAGTAAAATCAGGATATGCAACAACCCATTGGGAGGCACATATCCACGTAATACATGTCTTCAAAAACACAGCCCAGAAGATGGTGATATTCCGGGTGCACCGTCAGCAGCCGGAAGGCCAATTCCACATTAGCCTTGGCCAACAAGGCCCCACGGCCTGACCATGTCGACCACCGCATCAAAGGACGCATAAGACACTCGGCAGAGTTTAGAAGAGATGTCATCATTCACCGAACCTCCCCTGGAGTACGATGCCCGAGGAACCTCCCGCGGCAAAGGAACCAAAGACAATCCAGGCAGGACAGAGGTAATTTCATTTTCAGCACTGTTCAGCCTTGCAGTAGTTCCAGGTGCCACCTGCTGTACAGTCCCAAGAACAGCAGCCAGATCCTGAGAGAAGAGCAGTGGAGATCAGGTAAGCTCACACCCCGCCGGGAAGGGCAGCCGAGGTAAGTACCAAGGGGCATAGGGACCAGAGACAGACACAGGGTGGACAGGAGGGGGGGGGAGGAGGTAGACAGAGAGTGGGCCAGAAAAAGGGACAGAGAGAGGGAGGGACCCAGGACAGAAGAGACAAGGGAGCAAGAGGGGACCATAGAGGGAGGGAGGCAATAAAGGATGACACGACGGGGGGGAGGAAGGGGGAAACTATGGGAAGAACCCTCCACTATGGGGACCCCCCTCCACCCCCCAACGGTGGCACATTTCTTCTTCTAGTGCCCCCAGCCCACTGTCCAATGTCAGGGGAGACTTCAGGGCCAGAGGTGAGGCATCCAGGCTCAAATGAGCAGGCGGGCAGGAGCGCCAACCTGTGCTCCTGCGGCCTACAGGGGCAGTAGCCATGAGGGAGGCCCCAGCAAAGGTCTGAGCTCGGGGGGGGAGCACCGACACCGGCGGCCACACCAAAGTGCCATCCAGGGCAGCTGCAGCTCTGAGGGCAGAGAGGATGCCTTCCATATCCTCAAGCAGGAAAAGTCACGAGGCCCAGGAGAAACAGGAGCGCAGAGGCAGGGAAGTTGTTTGCTGGCCAGAATCCCAAAAGGCACTGAGGTAAGATTATCCCTGCCCTACTCCAAATCCCACTGGCTGAGAGACATGGGGACACAGAAAATAGGGACACAGACACTAGGGACACTGGGAGACATGGGGACACTGAGGCACTTGAGGACACTGGTTGGGACACATGGGGACACTGGGAGACTAGAGGACACTGAGAAACTAGGGGACACTTGAAGACATGGGCACACTGAGACACCAGGGACACTGAGACACTAGAGTCAATGGCTGGGAGACAAGGAGACACTGGGAGACATGTGGACACTGTGTCCCTAGTGTCTGTATCCCCATGTCTCCCAATGTTCCCAAGTGTCTCTGTGTCCCCAAATGGCTGTGTCATAATGTCTCCCAATGTCCCTTAGTGTCTCAGTGTCCCCATACCTCCCAGTGCCCCCATGTCTCCTTGCAGCCTTTCTCCCCATCCCTCACTTCCCTGAACTGTAGGCTGTCTCTGCAGGCTGGGGGTTGTTGTCTGGACTCTCTGTAGCTGCTCCACTGCGGATCAGTGAGTAGAGATAGGCAGTGAGAGATATGCTGAAACCTCCTATCACTGCCACTCTCCACATACAGCGACCCCTACTGGCCAGTGCTGGTATTGCATCGTAATCTCTGTTTATACTGAGAAAAATTCCAGCATTTGTATTGGCAGTATGACTGCAATATGTATCAGCCTGCACATCCCAGATAGCTAGCCAATCCAAACACACCAAATCTGAATGCCCGCATCTTAGCTCTGTCACGGCCCATCTCAGATAGCTAGCCAATCCAAACACACCAACTCTGAACGCCCTCCTCCTAGCTCTGTCATGGCCCATCCCAGATAGCTAGCCAATCCAAACACACCAACTCTGAATGCCAGCCACCTAGCTCTGTCACGGCCCATCCCAGATAGCTAGCCAATCCAAACACACCAACTCTGAATGCCCGCCTCCTAGCTCTGTCATGGCCCATCCCAGATATCTAGCCAATCCAAACATACCAACTCTGAATGCCAGCCACCTAGCTCTGTCACAGCCCATCCCAGATAGCTAGCCAATCCAAACACACCAACTCTGAATGCCCGCCTCCTAGCTCTGTCATGGCTCATCCCAGATATCTAGCCAATCCAAACGTACCAACTCTGAATGACCTCCTCCTAGCTCTGTCATGGCCCATCCCAGATAGCTAGCCAATCCAAACACACCAACTCTGAATGCCCTCCTCCTAGCTCTGTCAAGGCCCTATTCCACTAAACTGTGCTGCTCCATGGGCTACAGCATACTGCACTGACTTGTACAGCTTTGTGGGGGCATCAATTTTCATAGCATGATGCCCTTAAGGTCGGCAGTTATTTTTAGTATCCTCGCGGTAGGCGCTCTGATTGGAGCACTTATCTGCATCAACAATTTTGGTTGGAAAATGCGGTATAGAGCAATTTTGTGGTAATGGCTTGGTGCCAAAAGAATAAAATAGTTAAATGGGCGCCTTCTGAATTTTATGCTGCAGCTGCTACTTGCCTTGTCTTTCCTGCTGTGCCTGCTCCCTGCTGCTTACTGTGCAGGGAGAACAAGCCAGTACTTCTGGTATGGTTCCTGAAGTAGGAGCAGATAGTCTAATTGGTGAGTGCCTCCCTGGGATTTATCAGAAGGCAAAGCTAGGGGAGGTTTTGGGGATAATTTTTTTTTTGCGCTCGTTTTTTTGTTTTTTTTGTAATTGCGTCGGTTATTATGGATTTTTAGTTGGCCTTTTTTGGGGCTGAAAAAAGAAGTCACCTGCGAGGGGGGGTTATTTTTTTTATTTAGGGCCCCCACCCGACGCTCAGGGGTGGGGGCCAAGGGGGAGGGAAATTAGGTCCCCCCTAATTAGTATTTAGGGCCCCCACCCACCGCTCAGGGGTGGGGGCCGGGGGGAGGACATTAGGTCCCCCCCAAATTAATATTTCGGGCCCCCATCTGCTGCTCAGGGGTAGGGGCCAGGGGGGGGGGCAGTAGGTCCTACCCCTCATTCTAATTTGGGGCCCCCACCCACCGCTCAGGGGTGGGGGTCAGGGGGGAGGACATTAGGTCCCTCCCATTACTTTACTTTAGGGCCCCCACCCACCGCTCATGGGTGGGGGCCGGGGTGGCAATAGGTCCCCCCTTCAGGTTTGGAGGGGGAGGGGGACGTGCCATAGGCTGCTCACTGTTTAATAGACATGCCCCTACTCGCGGTAAAGCGGTAATCATTACTTAGTATAAGTAGGTTTGGCTGAAAGACCAATCTAGGTCTTTCAGCCTTTTAGTAGATAGCTCCCTAATACTGTGGGAGTTATCAACTTATTCATTCCTGTCATTACATTGACAGGCTGAGTATGAATGTATGTTACTTGATTGTTGTAAGTGTTGCAAATGCTTACAGCTGAATCCTGGCTATGTTTGTATACTTTTTATTTACAATTGTAACATTCTTCTTCTTCCACTGGGTAAGTATATTAGTACTTAGGCAAAACTATGCTTCGGAACTTCAGCAACTTTGGAACTTCGGCACTTCAGAAATTCGGTAATTTCGGAACTTTGGGACCTCGGTAATTCGGCACTTCAGCAATTCGGACATTCGGAAGTACCCGAATGTCCGAATTGCCCGAAATTCGTCCGAATACATATTCGGCCCGAAACGAATTGCACGTCTAGATTCCTAAAAGCCAAGACCTCAATGAAAATACAAAATCTGCTCCTTTATTTAAATTACTATCCAAACTGATAGATAGAGATAGCACAGTTAACTGAATACGGTTTTTCATTTGGTTTTTGGATTCCTGTTTCCTGTTCATCAATGCTTTTTGTAGAAAATCTTAGATCTGTTTATTTAAATCTTGATATACTTAGAGAAAAAATTACTAAAGAAATTTATTTAGGCAGAATTGAAGGTCCCTTTTCAGTCCCACCTTTTAGTTATTTCAGAGTGTCTCCTCTTGGATTGGTACCCAAAAAGAGAAAGGAACGTACAGGCTTATCCACCACCTATTATACCTGGATGATGCGTCTTTGAATTATGAGGTCAATGCATCCATCATTTCAGTGTCGTACACTTCCTTTGAAGGTGCTTTGAAATGGGTGAAACTGTGTGGTCAAGGTGCACTAATGGCTAAAGTTGACATTGAGGCAGTATTTAGGCTTTAGCCTATTCATCCTGACTGTTTTGGATCATTAGGATTTTAATCTGAAGGCACATTTTTCTTTGACAATTGTATGCTTTACAAACAACTATTCACTATCTGGGTGATTTCATTGTCATGGGTAAAGTAGGATTCTCTGATTGTTTTAATTTGTTAGTGTTTTAGGCTTTTAAGTCAACAATTTATCATTCCACTGGCTTGTGATAAAACTGTTTGGCCTACTACCTGCTTACATTTTTTCCTGATTATCATTGACTCTTAAAATAATAAAATTTTATTTACCTGATGATAAGATCAGCAAAATTACACAGGAAATGTTCTATTTTTTAAGTGTTAGTAAAATAATAATTAAGAGGTTACAGTCTGCTTTGGGCTTATTAAGTTTTAATTTGAGTGTAATACCTATGGCCAGAGTCTTTTCCAGGCATATGTCCAGAGCGTTGGCCCGGGCTAAAAAAATGCACATCATTATATGTGCATCCAGTAAGATGAAGAAGGATTTACAGTTTCGGAATGTATTTTTAAATAACCTCAGTGGTTCTACTGTGTGGCAAAGTGAATTTTATGTAACATTTATCAATCTGTCTTTTATTGAGGCAATAGAAGTAACTTTATTTGCTGCAACTTCTTTTCTTTATTCTGTAAACACTTCACATATTAATTTATTAAATATATTTTACCAGGATGGATACATTGAGATTTCTCTCATTTTTAAGACATGCAGTAGTGCATAAACCCCAATACTTGACAGACTCATTTTTTTTTTTTTTTAAACAACCAAACAGAACAAATAAATTAAGCTAGACAATCTCAACTTCTACAGGCTAAAGTAACCAAGACAGGTATAAGATTCTTAGCTTAATAGTTGAGGGTACTAAACACTGGTTGTGTCTGTTCTCCATGTCAGTCAATAACTCATTTTGATGAGCTGCTATAGCCTCTGTTTGGAGAGGTTCGTGCCCACGCCTTGTCTCACTAAATTAAAGTGGGGTTTGGCCCCTCTTAACTTTAAGCAATACTACCAAGCAGGACATATGCTGAAAATTCATGAATGGCATGTCACAGATTTAAATAAGCCTTGGTTGGTTTTGAAAAGGCTAGGAGCCCCATCCCATTAACTGACCTGACATGGTTACAAACTTTAACAATCTCACAACAGATACCCCCATCTAGTCCTATCTTCACAACATTGAGAGTTTGGTTTCAGGTTAAAAATTAACATCAGTTGCAACAATGCCTAGTCCTCTTTTACCACTTACATACAATCCAGATTTTTTGGAATGCATCCCTAAGATTTCTAACTGGAGGACTTTGTAATTAATCAAATCTACATATATTGAGAAATATCGATATGCTCAGATTAGGTGCTTTTATAAATCTGTACCAAAAAACGCCTGTTGATGAGAGGTACCACTTAGTTTAAAGACTTATGAAGCAGGGGGCATCAATTATGCATGGTATATCAGCAATGTATCAACTGCTCCTTATACAAAAAAATAAGTTTTTAAGCGGAGATGGGAGGAGGCCTTGACGATTTCATACTCAGAGGACAATGGTTAAAGGTTTTGATCCTTAATCACTAAAGCACGGTATGTACTAAATCTCAAGAAACACATTACAACATACTTTAATTTTGGTACCTTACATTACATTTTTCCTACACAATCACCACTATGTTGGTGTTGTAATGAACTTCCTAGTACAAATCTGCATTTTTGGTGGTCCTGCCATGCTTTGACAGCTTTCTGGAACGGGATCCGAGTGACTTTGGAAATAATTTTGGGTGAAGTTCCACTATTTTGACCCAAGAATGTCCTCCTACACGACATGGGTCTATCAATGTTAGAATTCTTTTAAATGCTGCTAAGGCCCTTACTCCTATGTTTTGGAAGTCTAAGGTACCTCCAACCTTACAGAATTGGGTGGGTAAAGTGAGTGAGATTGAAGTTGCTGAATCTAGGATCTCAGTCCTACTAAATGTAGGTAAAAAAGATCTGATATACATGAGATAATTGGTATACACCTTTATATACTTTCAAGGTTTATATGTATTATCTTGACCCTTGGATCAGAGAAATAGAGTCTTTGAATAGCTGTATAGTTAAATCCTATGTATTTATCTTGGGTTTACTTACTTATGACTTTATTTACTTTATTTTCAATAAAGATTGTTAAAATTTTGATGACCCCAGTAAGTTGACGTATTGTAAAGGTGATAGGATCACCTTAAGTTAAGGAAATTTGCCCCCATTAAAGACAATTGGGTTAAAGTTGGGAGAGCCTGTAGTAATCTATAAGTGTATAGTACATTCATGAGATGTTCTCACCACAGAAAGAATTATACTGAATTTTAGTAAGCTTTTTTACTGTTTTTAACAGTTTTCAAACAGACATTAATAATTACTAACCATCTCTTAAACATCTAGAATCCAAGGTTCCAATGAATATGCTGGTCCTTCTCCACAAATGAGTCATCTGGTGGTGGTCTTACAGCTAGCTATTCATTTAAACTTTGTATTCTAGATGTTTAAGAGATGGTTATCCTCCAGCAAGAGCGATAAGATTTAGCCCTTAGTGGCATTTAGACATGTGCAATTCATTTCGGTCCGAATACAAATTCGGAGAAATTTCGGGCAGTTCGAACATTTGGGTACTTCCGAATGTCCGAATAGCTGAATTGCCAAAATGCTGAAGTCCCGAAGTACCGAAGTTCTGAAGCACAGTATTGCCTAAGGACTAATATACTTAACCAGTGGAAGAATGAAGAATGTTACACTGTATACAATTTTAAATAAGCGGCGGGTGGGGGCCCTAAGTTAGAATAAGGGGGGGGACCTATTGTCACCCCACCGGCTCCCACCCCTGAGCGGTGGATGGGGGCCCTAAATATCAATAAGGGGGGTGTAATGGAACCGCTGGCACCCCGACCGGGTACCTTCCACTGACGGATGCTCCTAGTGCTCTCCGAGGACTCCAAGCACTATGCCCGACACCTTAACCACTGCAGACCCCACGAACCACCCACTCTGGACCCAAGACCAGAGTCCAGCTTCCGAATTCCAGAGAGCAGGAACAGGAACAAGCTCTTGGCAGAGCTTAGTGATTATACCCTGGGGAGTATAGTGATTATAGCAATCCCCCAGAGTGTAGTTCTCCAATCCCCCAAACATGAGCCAAAACCTCATGAAGGTACAAGATGATCTCATCTTTTAATGACCACACACTGGCTTTTATGCAAGTCCCCATGCAAGGGGACATCCCACAGGGTGGGACACAAAACAACCAATCATTTACAGGCAAACCGTAAAACACACCCATCCCCAACATACAATCCCTCCCCTCTGCCTGTGATATAATTACTGAACACAATGGGTTAATGTAATTTATCACAGGCAGGAAAAAATACACTTTTTACACATATACTGTAACTTTAAAAATATGCATCATATTCACATAAAACATACATATTCAGAATCAGCATACTTTAAATAGAAACCTAACCAAAAATCATACAAATCCGTTCAGCCATTCGGGAGACAGATATAAGTCAAGTTTGACCGACGGCAAGCACATTTTCCTGCCCAAAACAGTTCCAGAGAATCAGGCTGTATGGTCGGTCTATTTCCCATGTTAAAGTCAGTTCAAACAGACGAACGACAACCATTCGAATTGTCGAACTGTCGAATTAACTGTCGAATGAACTTCGAATGGCGTTCGAACTGTCGAATGCATTGAAGTCTGGAGAAGGTAAAACTTCAGCTGAATCAGAGATGGCCGCCGCCACGTGTTGGTTTGCACGAACTGCGCCCCCCCCCAGCGTTCGGCAATCTACCTACAGCAGGCTCCCAGCCTGGGAGGTAAATTGCCTGCACACTTCCACTTCTGGGTTGTCTGCCTGTGTGGTGCTTGGTTCAGTAAGCCCCATTTACTGAAACAACTGGGAGAAAGCCATAGACAAAGTATTTGAAAGGTATGGGGACATAGTCTTAAAGGGGCATTGTCACACAAAGTCTCAATATATCCCCAGACAGTTCTTAAAGGGCCAGCATGGTCCAATACAAGTCCATAAACCACAACGCAGTTCTTAAAGGGCCAGCAGCACAATATAAATCCATTAGCCCAAATAATGTTTGTAAAGTGCCATACAACCCAGGGCCATAGTCATGAGACAAGAGGCTGGCACTCAGGCTCCTCCAACAGCCAGGGGCAAAGGGCAACTTGTCACCTAAAAATCTAGTGACAAAAGGCATTTCGTCACAGGGGGGACTTATTGCCCTCCCTGCCAGGCCCCCACCCCTGAGCGATGGGTGGGGGCCCTAAACCTAAATATCTCCCCCCTGGCCTCCACCTCTGAGCAGCGGGTGGATGCCATAAATTTAGAATAAGGAAGGGGACCTATTGTCCTCCCCCCATCCCCCCACACCTGAGCGGTGGGTGGAGCCCTAACTATCAACAAGGGGGGGACATATTGTCCTCCCCCTGGGCAGTGGGTGGTGGCCCTTAATAGAAATGTAACCCCCCCTGGTCACCATTCTCCCCCCAAAAAATAACCCCTACCTACCCCCCTCATCCTAAAAATAAGGAGGGGGTAGGTAGGGGTTAAAAAATAAAAATAATAAAACTTACCATTTGATGTCTTCTTTCTTCTAAACTCTTCTTTTTTCAACCCCAAAAAAGGCCAAATAAAAATCCATAATAACCAACGCACTTTAAAAAAAAAAAAAAACGCAAAAAATAAAAATCCATTTTCACCTATGGAGGGATCCACGCAGTTCTGCTGGGTGGGGGAAGGCTTATAAAGCTTATTGGTGGGTTTAAGCCATCCAATCAGAGTGCTCTGACAGGTAAATAAAGAGACTGACAGGTAAGTTGGCTTGAAATCCACCAATCAGAGTGCTCTGTGTCATTTTATACAGCGCAGGAAAGTTCTTTGGAATTTTCCCACGCTGTGTAATTTGACTCATAACAACACTCTGATTGTTACTTTCAATCCACCAATCAGAGAGTTATGAGTCAAATTACACAGCGGGGAAAAATTCCAAAGAACTTTCCCACGCTGTGTAAAATGACACAGAGCACTCTGATTGGCTGAATTTCAAGCTAACCAATCAGAGTGCTGTGACACGTAAATTTTTATTTAGGGCCCCCATCTGCCGCTCAGGGGTGGGGGCCAGTGAGGAGGACAATAGGTCCCCCCCTTATTCTAACTTAGGGCCCTCACCCACCGCTCAGGGTAGGGGCCAGGAGGAGGACAATAGGTCCCCCTTATTGATATTTAGGGCCCCCACCCGCTGCTCAGGCATGGAGGGGTAGGACAATAGGTCCCCCTAATTCTAACTTAGGGCCCCCACCCGCCGCTCATGGGTGGGGGCCGGGAGGAGGACAATAGGACAGTTAGTTTACTTTAGGGCCCCCATCTGTCGCTCGGAGGGAGGGGGAATGTTTTATTTTAGGTTGTTTTTTGTTTTTTTTTACAGTGAGCAGCCACAGGCTTAGTAGACATGCTAATACTAATTTTACTTAGTTTTAGTAAATTTGGCTGAAAGACCAATTTAGATCTTTCAGCCTTTTGGTAGATAGCTCCCTAATACTGTGGGAATTAGGGAGTTATCTACTTAGCGGCTGCAAGAAAAGTCCAGAAATTCAGAAGTGCCGAAATTCCAAAGTTCCGAAATGTCGAAGTGTTGAACCGAACCAAATGGCCGAAGTCCCGAATTTCGGAATGCCGAACCAAACCAAAATTTTTCCCCATGCACATCCCTAGTGGCATTGCTTAATTTGCACATACCTTTTCATTTGTGCAATTCACTTGGTATTTTCTCAGTAACAAATGTACTACACTATTAGTTCTCTTACCTTTTCCCACATATGAGAACATTCCTGTCCAACTGGGCCAATATAAGAGTGGGATTCCAATAGTCTTGAATTAGAGGGGCAAAGGTTTAAAAGTAATATCAGGAAGTATTACTTTGCTAAGAGGGTAGTGGATGCATGGAATAGCCTTTCCAGCTGA